TTTTATAATTTAATAATATTTTTAATAAGATATTATACCAATATGTCTTAAGTAACTTTATTCTTCATATCAAAAAACATATATTTGAAAAATTTCGCGAAATTCTATTCATTATTTATCATATAATTGATATACAAATTTAAAAATTCCGAATATTTATGACGACCACTGTACATTGATACTCATGTAATCTATATCGATATAATTTTCGTTATGTTTTTCTACATATTTTCGTACATGGATTCTTTATTATTTTCTTTTATACAATTGCAAATTTTCTCTTGTAATTTCTCATGAATTTGACATTGCATGGTTTGTAGTAAATCGCAGGCATTTAGAACAGTACAAAAAGAAAAAGAAAAAAAATGTATAAAAGGAGAGTTTCTTTTGCGACAGAAAACATGCTTAATAAATAAAATAAATAATACTTACCTTTATTTGTTACTTATTGATTAACTTCAAAGCTTGTCGTTTTACAAGTAGTGGAGGAATTTCACTATAAATAATCCAAAATCCGAAACTATATTGTTTTGTTAACAGAAACTAATGTCCATCCTTTTCGTATTTGAATTCATTTAGTTTTTGATTAGCTGAAACCATAATTATATTGCTATTACCAGGCTGTGTCAATAATTTCTTCATTTTTTTTGTTATTGGTCATCAGAAACCTTCATGAGAATTCTTTTGGCATTACCGTTTTCATTGTTAAAGGTCGATTTGCGTAGAAAGCGTCACAAAAAACCATAGAACATTAAAGAACTCCTTTAATAGTAAATCATTCAGTGTAATACTCCTAATCATAGTTACACCATTTTAAAATAAGGCGTAACACTAAGTATTTATGGATATAGCAGAGGAAAAAGAATATAATAAATGTCAACGATTAGCCAAATCAGATATAATTTTAATACATATGTACAAAAGTCTGGAATTGGGGATGTTTTATATATACAGTATACCATGTTTTACTGTTTAATATTCTTGAACTTTCCTCTAATGATGTAAAAAATACATTGAATTTTATATAATATCATATTTATTTTAAGTTACTTTCTGAATATGAGTATATTTATATAGAAAAATCTTCATGGATGAATATTTTGTAAAATAATTACAGATCAAAGTACTACTCTCTGAAACACAAAATATAAAAATTAGATGCTCTTTAATTATATATATAATTTGTATTTGATATAAATATATAATATAAGAAGAAAACTAAATTATTAATCTATAATAATATGTTTAGATATCTGCTTTCCTATTTTATAGTTTTGTTTCTAAGAATTTCTAGGATGAAGAATGAATAAATAAAAATCATACTTGACCTCAAAAAATTAAAATCCAAATAAGAATAATCAATAAACCAAAAAAATGTTAATGTTAACTGAAAATTTGCTTGAACTTGCATAGTATAAAAACTAAAATATAAAAATACTCGGATTATCATTTATATAACCGAATTCGACTCGGCCGCCTGTAGTTTGACTCGACCAACTCGCGATCAACCCGAATTTTGTTAAAATTAATAAAACATAAAAATAAAAATCTCGGTTATATTTATTTATGTCGTAAATCGATATGTTAACTCTATTTTACATTTTTCTTTATACTTTATGCCCATCAAGATTTCAAACACATACATGCATGAATCGTATCTGTGTTAAGACTATATCATTTAAACTTTTTTATCTGTAATTGCATGTATTCATTATTGCTAGATGTGTACATACCGTATCGCACTGCTTACAGTACCCCCAAAATATAGTACCCCATGATTAAGACCCGGATACTTTTCACCACCTTTGGTAGTGTGAATAATACCCGGGTACTATTCAAGTTGATCTTAACTAATTTTGATTAGTATCCAGGTACAATTTTATACATAGTCACAGATAAAACTTTTTTTCATTATTGAAGTCTTTTATTATACCCATTGTTAAAAATGACTAATTCCAAATATTGACATAATTTCTTCTTCTTGTTCATAGTATTCTAAATATCTTTCAAATTATCATTTTCATTTTCTACATTTATCCCAATTTTGCTTCTTTCTCCTTCTTCTTCAATGCTAATTCCTATACCTCTTTGTTTTTGTGCTTGTCCAAAATCGAAAATCAAACCATCCTCAGAGCCATCTATATTTGTAGAAATTCTACAATATTTAAAAGATCATTAAACCATTGCTGAATCAATTGCTTCCAAGCTTCTTTAATCCAATTTGCTACAAGTGAGTATGCTGATTGCTTGATTTTGCCTGTTGATGTATATTCTTTGATAGCTTCATCCATCTATTAATTATAAATATGCTGAATCTATTGACAAAATATTATAAAAATATATTTAAAAAATATAATGTTATTTTAAACTAATCTTTTGCTTTGAATACTTCATTTAAAGATTTATTCAATGGTTGGAAAATGAAATTAATTCACCCAAAATAACAGCTTTATCAGTTTTTTCTCATGCAAATGACATTTTACTGTATTTATTTTATGACCAGTAAATGAATCCAAAATAAGAAGAGAATATGGATTTGAATCTAGATTGGCTCATCAATTCCATATATTTTCTATATACCTTCAGGGAATTGCTCTTGTAATACTTTAACTAATTTAAAAATAATCAAAGAAAAGAGTTTTGTACCATCTGCAAGACAGGCAAGAGTTACTGTAAAATGAGTATCTTCATAACCTGTGGTAAGAAGAGAAAAAGTTTTATGCAATGTTCTTCAATAGTTGTTGAATTTGGCAAATTAAATACCATAGGAGTTTCATCCATGTTTCCAATTAATTTTAAAGAATAATCATACTCGGTTTATCAGTAAATAATAAATGATAACAATTTTTTTGTTCTTTGAGATATTCTTTGGGCAGTCATTGTGCAATTGTGGTACATTGATGGTTCACCAACAAATGTTATGACATAAAACCATCCACCCATTTTTATGAAAATTGGCATTTTTAAATAGTTGAGATAAGGTAGTATATTGTTGTTTTTGGGCTAAATTGCGAACTTTTGCTGCAATCATATACCAAGTTACAGTTTTTAATTGTTGTTGTAATTCACGAAATCACCCGAGAAGTTCTTCTTCCAATTCTGGATACTTGGGACATGCACCAACATTGAGCCAAGAATATAAGGAGCTACACGAATTAAGTCATTCTTCTTTTTTTTTAATCACGAAGTTGTTTTGGTTCAATTTCATATTTTCTTGCGCAATTTTTCTCAAGCATTCCATTGACATCTTTTTTTGTGTATTCCTTGCTCGATGGTCTTGAAAATTTCCTCGCAGCATTTTATCAGAATCACTCAAAAGCCATGTAGCAAAAAAATACCCGACAATATATATTCATAGTATCTAAAGAATTTTACTAATTCCCCCTCCCCCCCAGTTTTGATTTGGACAATAGAAAATCTCATCGCTGATTGAACAAAATCAAATCACGCAATATTAATTTCTCGAAAACACCTTTGTAATATTTACATGTAATATTAAAGTTAGTGTTTAGGGTTGGAATCTAGATTGTACGTAAAATTTCATTCTGAACCTTTTATCAAGCTAGGTTTATGCATAGGTTTTTTTGTTTTGCAGGTTGACCAAAAATTTATGCATTTTTATTGATTGTTCAATATTGCGTAATCAATTTTATTCAATCAACAATTAATTTTCCAGGGAATTAGTAAAACATCATTGATTATCGCATATCAATCTTTATTTAAATTAACTGAGCTGGTAAACTCAAAATTAGCAATTCGAGCAGTAAGTCCAGGTTATATATTATGACCTTCTTCATACCGTACACTATCAATATTTAGTAATCATAGATCATTATATATTTTAATGTTAATGTTCTTAAAAAGTAAGTGTGTTTAAAATTGTTGATTTATGATAGCTATATACATTCGTAAAGCAGTTAATTTACAATTATAAATAACTGTGCACGTAAAATACGTATAGAATCGATAATTCTTTAGAAAATATTTGTTTACCATAGTAAGGTTGAAATCCTTAATTCATAAATTTTATATAATCTTCATTTCAATTACAATACCAGTTTTAACAATCATATTTACGTTAATTTATTACATATTATTATCTTTGTAAGTTACATTATTTCTTTTGTACTTTTGTGTTGTTTTGATTCAATATTTTCTTTTGTGCTTGATCATGTATTTCTTTCGAAATATCTTTGTATTTTATTTTGTATTTCCTCTCGCAATTTTATTTTAAGGACGCTGATGCTTAAGTCGGGCCGTCTGAAACAACATGAATCACATAAGTTGCAAAACCAACGAAAGTATATGAAAAAGTCAACTAGAAGAGTCATGCGATAATCTAAAGAAATAAAAATAATATTGCTAGCGAATATTTATTTGTTAATTATTTTCCACTGATTATCTTCAAAGTTTATTTCCTGTATAAGTAGAGGAGGAACTTCATGATAAACAAAACATAATTCGAATTTTTGTGATTATTTTGTTAACAGAAATGAAGTTCAACCTCCGAATTATTGTGTTTTTTTGATATCTTGTGAAAATGACTCTTTTAATTAAAGGATAATGATATATCAATGATGCAATAATATGAACATCCACCATCATTAATTGGTATAATTATTGATAATGTGTGCTGAACAATCGAATAACGATGAAGTATGATTCGAAATGGGAAAAAGGAAATTTTTTAAGTCAATTATGCTGGTGAATTTGAAAAATTCTCTAGCTTCCAGCTCATATTGATATCAAATGTAAACATCGGCCTGATGTTGGTAGCAATATTCAATACGTTATTTTGTTAATGCAAATGGTTTTTATAAAGGTAAATTTACTTTTCTGTTATACATTTAAAAAAGTTTTCGAAAAATGATTATTGAAACTTATACAAGGAAAAATATATTTGAGTCCTGTATTAAAGAGTAAATATTACCATATGATTGTATTATTGCATTGGAAAAGATTTTTTCGAAGTAAATGTCATATCGAACAGGGAATGCGTTTTAAATTTCATTTCTAAGGATTAGTATCGAGTACAAATTTCTACAACCGCTTCTTTTTTTTTTGTTTTTGATAAATCTTCCAATTGTTGTATTTTATGAAAATTAGCAATATTATCATTACAAGCTCAAGGTTTTTATCCAAATATTCTTTTTCCTCTTTTTGCTTTCTAATTCTTTTTGATTTAATTTTAATTGTTTTTGTTCATTAATTATTGTTGTATCTTTAAATCTAGGATCTGAATTCTTTCATTTTATAATGATGAGTTTTGTGCTTTTATAATAGAAATATTGAATTATTATTAATATGAATTAAATTTATTTGATTACTAACAAACTTTATCTTCATTTTACTTACCAATAATATTAAAATTCATATTCATGTACAGTACATATATTATGTTTTACTTCATGAATTCAAGAATTTACTTTATTGCTAATGTAGCTTTGCTTTTTAATTCAAATTCTACTGATTTTTTGTGAATTTTGTCTATATTGACATCAATCATTATCATCATTATTTCATTATCAGGTTGTAAAAGAATATTAAATATTGTTTCAAATTTTTGAGCTGATTATTTGTAAAATTCGAAGTTTCAACTTTGAATACATTTACATGCAATTAATTTTCATCGGAAAATACATGTACAATGTAATGTATAAATAGCGATGTGCATGTACATATATTTCTCCTTGTGTTTTTTCTTTAGTGTTGTGAGTGAGAACCATATTGCTATACATAGAATTCAAATAAAGAACTTCAACATAAGGAGCAGCTATATAACAATAGCTGGAAATTAACTTAAAGATTATGAATAAACCAGAAATTTTAGATGGACACCAAATTCTCAATATTTTTTTTCTTCTTTATATGATCCATGTTTTGTATAAAAAATCTCGGTGAAAAATTGGAAATTCATCCCGATATACATCAAGTGGTTGCGGTATCTCAGGTCTTTACGCAATTCAGATGTGAATTTCATTCAATGTAGAGCTTACTTCCATTAATACTATGTTTTTCATATTTTCATCATTGACAAGACACTCAATAATTTCTTCATGTAAATGAAAAATATTCAGTTTCAACCTGATTTCTTTTGAACTTTTAATTGAGCAGTAAAGCCTCAGTTCCTTGGCAATTGATCTGTTTTCTGAAATAGGATCACAATATTAAATTTACATTATCCCAGAATATTATTTAGGTATCGTAGGTCGTACTCTTTTATAGAGGTTTTAAATATGAGATTATCATGACTTTTTTCATCTCACTTGTTACAAATCTCGTGTATAACTCTTTCAAATCTATAAATCAGTAACGTTAGCGTATAATTTTCTATTTAGCACCTCCGGGATTATATAAAGAAATGCTCACAAATTTCTTAGATTTTTCTATATACAGTATGTTGAATGTTAAGTTCGAAATCAGCAAATTGAGCCTTATAATAAATTAATAATCTTCAGGATGTAAGTCACGATGTACAAACTTCGTAAATATTTCTCAGATAAATCTTTTGATATTATCTGCATAAATCGTTATTATCGAGTAAATGTATTCGTTTATAATTGGATTTTTCAGTGTTGGATACAACTACAAAATTGAATAATGTGACCTCAATTTTATTATAAAATCCGCATTATTTATGACTTAAGTCATAAGTAAAATGGATTATGAACATGAAATCAGTCAAATCTGGAATTTTTAGGTATTCCAGTTAAGAGCAGTCTGAATCTATTGTTAACATTAGAAAATAAAAAGTAAATTTCACATTAGAAAATATTTATTTTGCTAATTATAAACTCAGAAGTAATTAGCTTAATTTTATGTAATGATTCGATACTTATTTAAAACTTTACTAATATAAATATAGTCAGAAACAACAATACTAAGAGAATCTCAATTTTGCTATTATACGTATAATTTGAATAAATTTCTTCAAAATCGAAAGTCTCGATAATTTCTGGAGCCCGATCCTCCATTTTCTTTAGTTTTTTGATATCACATTAAAGTTAAGTTCCATATTGATAATATTTATCAATGTTGAATTGAGCTTTATTGTGTCCAGACTCTGCTGCTCTTAAATACCATTCGAATGCTTTTTGTTCATCTTTGATTATTCCTATAACAAAAAGCAAGATTTATTTTGTGCTTGAGAATATCTAGACTCTGCTGCATTCAAATATCATTCGAATGCTTTTTGTCCATCTTTAATTTTCCTTCCCCATTTTTATAACAAAGAGCAAGACAATATTGTGCTAGAGAATCTCCAGACTCAAATACCAGTAACCTCGACTATGTGATGTCATTTAAATTCGCATAATATTACTACACCACCGAAGCATCAAAGAATTCTGCATGATTATCATAATGATTTCTATACGAACATGAACAACAAAAATGAAATGAATGCGTTATAAATCGAATAATATGTGATATATAACTATTTAATGTTGTAAATAATGACAAATAGCGAAAGATAATTCAAAACTTGATTCAAGATAACTGATATGCTATTATGACTTTGTACAAAGAAAAAAAGGACAAATATAGCTGGTTATAAATAATATTCCTGAAAAAATAGCATATATATAATAATGAATTCTCATCATTAATTATATTAACACTTCATGAGAATTAAAAACTTACTTTTTGATATCATATTGGATTGAATATGGCAAATGCTATAATAACAGTTCTACTTATAGAGAAACTTTAGCACGAACAACTAATAATATATTATTAATAATTTTCTGTGGTAATTTCATAGCAGAGAAACTCAAATTAGAATTTAATAATTTGAATTTTGCTCATTATCAATATGTCATTCATATTTCCAAACTCATAATTATTCAAGAAATCAAGTTAATAGATGAGTTTATAAAGAAAGTAAAAACTTTAATAGCTTATATTAAGTTTTATATCCTATAAATGAAGTTCTAATAAAATGAAAAGAGTTATTTATTTGACATTTGAACTAAATATGAAAACTAGATGAAATTCTATCTATTTAATATTAGAAAAATAAACAAAATGAAAGCAATTTTTAATTTAATAATCAATATTTGGTAATAGTATTCCAATAAGAATAATTAAAAAATCAAAAATACAATATTGCTTTTTGAATGATTTGAATGTGCTACTTATTTTCTTTTTGCATTCAGTTATTCGACATATAGTCATCTTATCTTGCTTGATCTTTAAGAATACTTGATTGAATACATAAATGATAATATATACAAAATATTATAGCAAATACATTCTATCAAAAACTTGTTAATTATTGATTAATTATGAATAAATTTTTATCATTAATAGATCCAAAAACAAAATTATCTGCATTTATAATCAAACGGAAAAATAAAGCAGAAAATTTAGTTTTGAAAATGATTGAATATGCTATACTTTTAGTAATTGCAAAATAATGATATCTTCAGATTTATATTATTATTAAGCGTAATAAATAATAAAAAAAATGAGCTGGAAAAATATTTGGTAATATTTTTGAAAGATCAGATTGATCTATTATTTTAATGAAAATAAGTAATATAATTATTCAATTTTAAAGAGATTATTTATTCATTCAAGCAACAAATGTGATATTATTTGAATGGATTCCTTTTGAGAGCATTATCAACGTGAATACCTTGCAAAAGGAGATTTTGGGTCAATTTATAAAGCCACCTGGTTGGATGGACAAATAACTAGAGAATGTGTTCATGAAGAAAATAAATGGGAACGACGTGGAAAAATTAAAGTTATGTTAAAATCATTGTACAATTCAAAGCAAATTACTCAAGAGTTTATACACGAGGTAAAAAATGAACATTTTCTAAAGTGAAAGTTGCGTTTGTTTCTAATACAATCGAATTTTTCAAAAGTAGATTCAGACTGTCTTATTTGCAGTAAATATCAATATCTTACGTATTTAGGAATAACTAAAAATACAACTATAAACGAATACTCAATAATGTTAACTTATGTAGAAGATGGAGATCTCCGTAAATATATTCATTCCAAGAATTGACTTGGAATAAAAAATTAAGTTATTTAAATTGATTATCAGCCATTCACAAAGAAATGATTGCACTTGTACATCGTGACTCACATCCTGGAAATATATTGATGAGAACACGTCCGCAAATTGTAGATTTTGGACTTAGCGTTCCAACAAATATGGAAAAATCTAAGCAAGAAATGTATGGCGTGCTTCCTTATATGAGTCCAGAGGTGCCAAATGGAAAGCCATACACTACCACTGCAGATATTTATAGTTTTGGAATGGTTATGTACGAAATTGCAACAGGTGAGCAACCATTTGGCGAACGAAGTCATGGAAACGAGCTCGCATTTCCAGTATTACAGATCTTTAGAATATCCTAAAATCGGACAGTATCTTAGATTAGAAAAGCTGAAATTTATAAGGAAAATATCTCAAGTATTCCTACGGATAGGAGCAAAAACAACAAATGCAATTTACACCGGTCAAATATTTTATATTCAATTAAAATGACATTTCAGATTGATTTAAAATATATCAAACATTTAGTATTTTCCAAATGAAGGTAAATCTACATTTGATATTACATGTACATGTACATGTTGATAACACAAACTAAAATCGGCGATTTACATATATGAAAAAGATAAGGCTTTTTTGAAAAGCTATTTAATTTACACCAAATAAATAAATTGATAACCATAATTTGGGCACACACCATAACGATAAAGTAATTTAATTTGAGTTAAATTCAACGTCAATCGGAATTTGCCGATTGCAAATTTACACAACTATCACGTCTATATTGATATTAAAATTTAACAACATAAAAAAATTTCCTTTAAAAAGATTATCTGCGGCTTGTTCTTGCTGTATATCTGATTGAGAAACTTGCGAAATAGGATCTTGTTGGTATGTTAAACTCTTTTTTTCGGATATTTTTTAATTGTTCACCAACATTTTAGACTGTTGAGTAGAATCGGTCATGTTTGGATGGGTTTTAAGTCCCACTTGTTGACGATTAGGTATATTCGAGTTTCAAAAAGGTTCAGAGTTAAAACTAGCATAAAAATTGATGATAAAATTCATTACGAAATAAGATAAAAGCTTTTTCTTTGAAGTGAAGATTTTAAATTTTTCTAACAAAAGCTGATTCAAAACAAAGCCGATTTGCTTTTAGCTTAGAAGTATGTATCGCTAGCAAAAGCAAAGCTCTTCCTAATATAACATTTAAAAATAACTAACTAATTAAATATTTTACGCCGTAATTCCCTTTGTTACAGTATATTAATTGTTTTCTTCAAAATTTGCTAGAAAAATGAACAATTTTTCAAATACTAATCTTGGACTAGCGCTAGTAAAAACAACAATCAATTTTATGCATAAAATCATGTGCTACATGTATTAAATTTTTACTGACATAGTTATGACGCACCATCGCTTGTATGCATGATTGATCTTCGAAACACACTCAATACATGTAAATGTATAGAGACGCCCCGCTTTTTTTCGTCATTAAAATGTATTTTTGCCAAGTTATACATGTATAGTACATGTACGTGTATTAGGAGGCCGCTGTTTTAATGACGACGGTTACATAGGTCATCCTTTTATTAAAAATACCGGTACATGTATATTGTTGGACAAATCGGTAAACTAAATAAAAAAGTTTGCTATACATGTATTAGGAGGGCTTGAACATTCAAAATGTACAACACTGGAAGTGTCAATAATAATTGTATCTAAATTGAGAGCTCAAATTTAATGCCGTAATAACTTTGAGTCATTCTTTGCAAAATCTAATAAATACATGTTAAATAAATTAAACGAGAAATAAAACACTGAAAATATACGTTTTCAATCATACATGTGAGTTGGTTTTAAGTCAAAGTCAATGCGTAGGTACCAGTTTTTCTTGATTTCTCTAACACTCCTGTCATCTTGCATCATGTACATGCAGTTCCCAGTACCGATACTAATTTTTGTCGTATCCTATTCCCAGCATTTGTAGCAATGCTTTTTCAACCCTGCATGTAAATATGCTTTAAATCAAAGTTACACAGTTTTTCTTGTTTCTTCTTTTGCTATAATCTTAATTTCGCACAATGTAGTTCTTAGTACATTATACAATGTACTCATTGTCCAATAAATCGCCAAAATTAGTAACTGACTGAGAACTACATGGTTTAAGATTTAAACGGCAAAAAAGAAACTGGGTATTCACGTATTGGCTTTGGTTTAAAGCATCTTCATCTGCAGGACTGCTACAAGTTTAAATGCTGGAAAATAGAATATACGTAATAATTTCGTATAATTTAGTGCAAAAATTAGTATCTATACTGGGATCCTATATGACCCGTGTAAAACGCTACGCGTAACTTTGGTATTTGGTGAATCAACATAGTAGGTCAATTTTTGCGTTAGACGTAAGCCAGACTCAATTCGACAATTCTTTGATTACCATACCAATGAATAAATTAGGAAAAGTCCCGAATTCTCGCTCAAAGATATATAAGCATCACCTCTTCCTTGTAATAATTTCTCTCACAAACTATTATCTCTTCCAAATCCTAACTACTTCCTATTGAATTACCTTGACAAAATGACAGCATATTTCTTCATAGTAGCACAACATTCTGGTAAGGTTCTCGACGTTTACCAGGGCTCTACCGAAGCATCCGCAAAGATCATCCAATACACAAAGAAATCTACTGACGTGAGAATTGACTTTTCATAATGGAAATAACATGTTTATATTCCACTTGTTTTTTATTACTTAAACTCCCTTCTATTCAGTTTGATAACCAGCTCTGGTCTTTCGATAATGATGGATACATCTATAACAAGAAATCCGGTCTCGTACTCGATGTCACTGGAAGTAAGTGAATTTGATTTATTATAATTGAATGCTGAATTAAATTACTAAATCTTTTTTTTTCTCTTCTTAATCCAGGCAACATCCAGGATTGTAAATATCTATAATAGTATTTTTACTGCAATCGTTTTATTTTTCTAACCTCGGACTCTACTTTTCACCTCTAGCGACACCAATCATTCAATATCAAAAGCATCCCGATCAACCTGGTAATCAGCAGTGGGTCTACAGTGATACGGATAATACCATCAGCTTGAAATCTAATTCAAATTATGTCCTTGACGTTACAGTAAGCTTCTTCATTTCATCGAAATTGCTTTTAACAATTCAAAGGTCTAATCATAATTCTGTGTGTACAGGGATCAAGCCAAGATGATGGAACTCCGATCATCTTATACCATAAAACAGGAAACCCTAACCAACGATTCACTTTGCATTATTATGCAACGATTTAAAATAGCATTAGCACATATCGATATCTGTCAATATGAGACTATTTGAATTTTTTATTTATAATAAAGTATTTGATGCAGAAATAAAATGAACCTATATATGTAATCATCTTGTTCGCACGTGGAATCTTTACCCAATGAAACACATAGCTGTGTGTTTTTTATTGTTTTTTTAGCTACGAAATATCATAGTCACAATAAATGGCAATCATTGCTATATTCGTAACAATTAACATTGACGACTCAAATACATGTACATGTCAATTTTACTAAGGTGTTAATATTAATGCAGATGTTACTATGCCAATACTGTTACACTTCCTCCTAAAGGTGTTAAATTTAAAGAAAATAGGGCGTAAGTAAATAGAGTAGGTGAGCTTAGATTAAATGGTTTACAAGAAGAGGTGTTCTCTACTGTTCTAAGGGTCTCCTGTGCTAGTTTTTACGAAAACTACAGCGGTTCGGATCAATGCACAAAGCAATCCTCACAATATAGCATAAAGCAAAACTAATGGTCAATGACTACTTAATGCCCACAAAACGAAATGCAGACTAACTATGTTTATTTAGAGTGGAGTCCTTCCACTATCTATTTATGTTAGGCACAAAGAAATAAAAGCCACTTGTACGCAAGCTTTGAAGATAATAAATAATAGTGTGGATAGAAATAACGAGACTATTACGAGTAAGTAGTTTATTATTACTTTTTTTTTATTGGTTAGAGCATATCACCCAAAGGCTAACATCCTGCCTTTATATATCAATTGCATCAAATCCTTTCAGTAGTACTATCGCTTCTAAATAATAAATTCGAAGACAATATGAATGATAGCAGGTGAAAAAGGGGTATTAAAGAGAATAAGGATATGAATGTCAAGGAAGATCGATCGAGAATTTTAAAGATCACTAAAGTTATATGTTTCTCCAGAAATTGACTAAACTTCAACGGTGTAATAAACAGAAATTAAAGGAGTATGCGACTAAGAAATTTACTTATGAAATGATGTCAGTTACTGATCTAAGCAAAAATAGTGGAGGTGTCTGTGTCAAAAAGTACTGGGAATTATGAACTCACGAATCAAGTTACATGTACTACGGTAATCAATTGTGCTGATCGAAAAGGTCAAAAAAACGATTAACAAGCTTAGAGAAAGAGGAACACTATTAGAAGTTTATGAAGAATGTGATGAAATTGGCAAAGCAATTCTATCTCGCTTTATGTATGAAGATGACTATGTCAAATACTTAATTATTTCGATTTGGGAATCTCGAAGAATAATACAGTAAATTACTTATTACATGTTCATGTAGATTAGTGACTTTAAATATTCAGCAAAAGCAGGCTATTTATTCATATATTTAATATCTGGTTGGATACATATTTTTCGGTAATTTCATTAATTTACTCTTGATGCGCTCTAGCATTTAATATATATGATCTACCGCATCGTAAAGTAACTGTAGTTTAGTCAAACTCTTTATATTTATTATGGAACAAGCTTTTTGGCAAGCCATTGTAATGTATCCTCAAAAAAGTATCATTATAAATAATGAAATTTATGAAGCCAAATTAATTTGTCGTAGTTAGAATTGATATACTGTATTTATGGAGATCACCATCCTCCGCATAATCCAACACTATTGAATATTCATTCATAGTTGGGTTTTATCTATTTTCAAAATTTTGATTGTATTAGAAACAAGAAGCATCTATGAAAATCTTCATTAGTTACCTCGTCTAAAAATTCTTGAGTAATTTGCTTTGAATTATATAATAATTCAACGCAACTTTACTACTTTCTTCATATCGTTTAAATTATTTTCTTTATGCCATCTATTAGTCCATCAAACCAGGTTGCTTAATAAATTAACCTAAAACCTCTATCGCTATATCAATGTTGGAAATCTTTCGAATAATAATACTACTGCATCATGACGACCACATTTTTTTCCCAATTTTATTAGATTGTTGATACATGCATCTTTCTCTCCGCTAGACAATTCATCGTTATAAATTCGTTTGTGACATTTCAAGCAGTCATCGCAACTAAAATTATCTTATTATACACAAAATACATTTTATTACAATCATGAGTATTGTGAGCTAAACTCTCATCGCTGTATTTATTCTCTTCAAAATCGTCACATTCATTGCAATGATGAGAAATATTTGATTCCATCTTTGGGTTCATTTATATGATGCGTGGATTTTGACATGTAAATACATTTATAAAACAAAATCATCATTGTCGTTATACATGTATACATGCACATGTACAGTCGCCACAACAAGTAACGCCTGACCCTACATTTTCTCCTTTTACTTTTAAACATACACTAGGTGAAATTTTTTAGGTGTAAATATGATACCTGTCGTACCAGTAAGCCATCTTTGACAAGGATATATATAGTGATTTTTATGAAGTTATGAGTGTCAAGCAAGTTGCAAGAAAAATGTGGCGTAACCCAGTTAGAGTATAATGGTCCCTTGTCAAGTATAAAAGAAACAGGAAAAACAAAAATTTACCACTGTCTGAGAGACCATAAGCTCATAGCCATCAAGAAAAAAATTCATATACGCAAGAAACTAAAAAAGACATCCTGAGGCATTTCATGACATTGATAATAAAAAATCTATGCAAAAACTCACCTGAAGATTCTCTAAGGTAATTTGATCCCTTTTCATAATATAATTTGTTTATTGCAGCTTGCTTGGCGCTGATTTACTCTATTTGAATGTATATTATTTTTTTTCCCTAATGTAGATCAAGTTTTATTTTTTTTTGAACATCATATTCTCTCAAATCAAACAAAAATTGATCACTGTCTGGGAGACCATAGGCTTTTAAAAATCAAGAAAAAAAATGCATCTATATAAGAAACAAAAAAAGACATCCTGAGTCATTTCACAATATTGGTAATAAAAAATTCATTCAAAAGCTTGATAGAGCAACCAATTCTATGACATTAACGTGCTTGATTGGCCCTCACAATCACCTGATCCTAACCCAATTGCGCACAAAATAGAGGTCATAATTCATATCTCAAAGATCAACTTTGGGAAATTTGGATTGAAATCGGTAATGCAGTTTTAATGAAAGTATGGAAGAACGCATTCAAGATGTAATTAATGCAGCTCCTTGTGTTTAGTTCTGAAAGCGATATTACACTAACACAAAAATCTTGCAAGCAAGTTCACTACACGTATTAATGATATAATCATCATTAGAAAATATAAATTTTTAAACCAAATGGTTCAGTCAACTGTTGCGTTAGCAGCTGGAATATTTTATCATGAGTGCGAATCTTGATGTTAAAAATTATACTATCCTCGCTCGCTCTGTTGAAGTATGGCAAATGCGATTATTAGCCTTTCTTAACGGTTTCGTTTCGACGTTGCATTATTAAATTTTTATTATTCTTGATAAAAGATTATCTACATGTATCAAACACTAGCGTCAGTTACTCTCGACTACTATACAAAAATTAATACGTGTACAGTACATGTATAAAAAACCTCTTGGTTGCCGGGTCATATATTTCTGTTCTAATGAAACAAAACAATTATTTGTATGGTCTTAGCTAAAAACTCATAAAAATATTTATTTTTGCACAATTTGAAATACTTCATAATCATCAATCTCAAATTTAACGGTACGGTTATCAGAGCTCAACAAACCATGTGCATATGCGTTTTTCCGACAATAATTATTACCATCAGTAGTGCATATTATTATATCACATCCGTATCCAAACATTGGCCCACATCCTTTAATACATCCTATATTACTGTTTGCAATACATTTACTTATAAGCCCATCGGATTCATTTGGATCAAATTGGAACAAAAAGCTATTTGGTCCATCATAGTATAGGTCTTTTGAATTCCATTCTAATGGATTATATCCACCAATTATTTTTCCCGAATCTTTAACCCGAATGGTAACAACTGTTGGACCTTTGTTATCACAAAGTCGATGAAAATCAGCGGCAGATAATCCATCTCGACTACCTCGTAACAATAGCTTTAAATCGAATGAATTCATTTTTGTATCTTGCGACTTTATCCATTCCCTTATTTTTTGGAATTGATTTTGGGTAAGCACCATAGAGTTATCAGACTTATCAGAATTACGAATAGGGTGTTTATTAGCTTGAAAATCTTCACTTCCCGGAACCAAGTAATGATGTAATAAATCCTTGTATAATTTGGCTGATAAGAGTTCCGAATAAGGCATTACTTTATTGTAAAAATCAACAGAGTTTATATGAAAAAAACGAATCAACGGTAAACATTGATTAAGCGTGAATTTTAACTGTGTAAATTCGTTTTGTGTCCATTTCTCTACCGCGATCGAAAAATCAACATTCTCAGAATTGGAGTCTTGAGCAATTCCCCATTCAAGAACCTTCTCCCATATATCGATTTCTTGAAGATTCAAATCATCTCGTCTGAGCAAAGAAATCAGTGCAGTCTCTTGCAGTTTTGTAAAATCATTCGATTGAAAAACAGCGGCAGGATTTTTACATGCAATATCCGTGCAAAATTTGTGAAGTTTTGTGAAAGTGTTGTGTTCGAATACGATTTGATTAATTAAGGCAAAATTTTCTGTCATAGAATCAATATGGTGTTCCAAAAGAAAGTCTTGAATATGTTCAATTAGATCGTTAAGCATCAACTCATCTACAGCAATTAATAAGTCCAAAAGCGTCGGTATTCCATGTTCTTTCAAACTAACTTTGCCGCAGTACATATATCTAACACATCATAAAATAAACTTAATTTATTTGTCTTGTTTATTGAATATTGACATAATTAATTTACCTTAATAAGATTTCAAACACACGTGGTGAAATATTTGGTTTTTTAAAAACGATCATTTTATATGGTTCTCGCTTCACCCACGCATCAGAAAGTGCCGCAGCAAAATATTGTGAGTGCGCCATTAAAATTGACGAATGTGCGGTAAAGGTGCGTTGTGCATTTCCATCACCAGCAATTA